ATTTTTTCAAATATTCAACCTATACATTCATTGTTTATGTATTATCTCGATTGAAAGATTGTCAATAAAATTAAATGGATTAATAAAGTTAAACATAACATAAAATATAAATACTCAAATACAAACATTCCAGTCAACGGTTCGGGTTATAAGCTAGTATTATGAGATTTTAGTTTTAGTTTTCAATTATCTACGGGTCATGTGGGAATTCCAGCGGGCTTTTATAATCTATATGTCCTGACAATTAATTAACCAATAGCATTTTAACGGAAGCTTAATTATAATTATGAAATTTGATCAAGGATACATTTTTATATTTTATATACTTAAATACTGATGGTATTTTTTCAAATATTCAACCTATACATTCATTGTTTATGTATCATCTCGATCGAAAGATTGTCAATAAAATTAAACAGATTAATAAAATTAAACATAAAATAAAATATAAATACTCAAATACAAAAATTCCGGTCAACGGGTCGGGTTATAAGCTAGTATATAATAGCATGAAGGGGAAAACTGTTGCTCCATTTCAAATTTCCTGCAACGAGAGTGAAAATAGGAAGGACATTTTGGTCTTCACAATTACTTTTTTTATTTATTCATTAAAAAGACGCGTACTGGGATTCGAACCATGACCACTTTAAAGAAAATCAAAGATCATAACCAATCACACTATGTACATTTGTTATATATTTTTAAATTAAAAACATATAATAGCATGGAGGAAAAAACCCTTCCCTCATTTCAAATTCCCTGCTCGAGGAGCGTTTGTTAGAAAGGTAGAATAGGGAGAGTCAATTTATTTTTTCTCTTTCCTCTGTGGAACGGGCCAACTTACCGTACACATGCGGATTTAAATGAGCCTAGGAGTGTCAATTTTTTTTAAGCCCATTTATTTCTCTATGTTGGTAAAATCTACACATAATATAATAGTAGGTAGGAAAAAACCCTTCCCCCATTTCAAATTTCCTACTCAAGGAGTGTTTGTAGGAAGGGTAGAATATGGAGTGTCAAATTTTATCTCTTTCCTCTGTGGAACGGGCCAACTTACCGTACATATGCGGATTTAAACGGGCCCATGAATTGTTGCGGCCCACAAAGAAGAACAGGTTTCTTTAAGCCCTTTTATTTCTCGGTGTTGGTAAGATATATATGAAAGGACAAAAATAATACTCATTTTTATTGTTGAAAAAAAAATTTAACAATAAACTAATGCATGGATTCTAATGAGCTAACCGCTAACTATAAAATAAAAGAGTTGAATGGGCCTGACCTATACGAGATTTGGCCATCAAGTAAAACAAATGAACATCATGGGTTTGTTATCCTAAAACAAGCTATTTTCTCCAGCATAACATAAATTATGCTATTCGAAAACCACAAATAGCCACTTCCGTCCATCTCTTTAACGGTGTTACTTAACAATCTGGCTGTACAGACGGAAATGCTGAGCTGGCAATTTCTCGCCAGACACGTGGATTACAAAAAAACAAAAAAATGAATTTTTTTATTTAGTAAAATATAAAAGAAGAAAACCCTTAAAAACCCTAGCCGCACAAACCTTATCTCCCTCATTCTCTCTTATTCTTTCTGGAAAAACAACGAAAAAGAAGAGAAGAATACGGATGAAATCCAGTCGATCTGCCTGTCTCTCTTGATCTTCTGATCCTTCCCTTTCTTGATCGGCCCCTGTTCTTCCCCAACTAGCGCTCTCTCTCTCTCTCTCTCTCTCTCTCTCTCTCACTCTCTCTCTCTCTCTCTCTCTCTCTTCTCCCTTTCTGAAAATGACGAGAAGAAAAGAACGCCGGTAATTGAGGTCGACGGTGACGAAGGTGTTTGACGCAGGCGATGATGAGGATGGCGGGGGCGAAGGCTATAGAACTCCTCAGAAGTTAGAACCTCTTCAGGTTGTCATAATTCTGGCCAGCCAAGGAGAAGACTTTCTTCACTCCAGCAGTTTTGGTTGTCGCTGTAGCTGAACGGAGATAGAGAAAAAGGGTGGGAAATTCGAGATGGGCACCGAAATTGAAATGGATTTGTTCTTCGAATCAGCCAATTGCTTGCTAGAGCTCTCGATCTTCTTAATCCTTGAACCATCTTGATTGCCGCCGCCCAGCTTCACCTTGGCCACAGTTTGCTACCGCTGGCGACGAGAGAGCGTCGAAGGAGAAGTTTCAGACGGGGAGAGATGGAAGGAAAGGAAACCGCCGTGGATAGAGGCGAAGAATCTCGGGCCATGACGATGACGAAGCAAAGGGAGGAAGGGGAAGGATCTCGCAGAGTTGGCGACGAATCGATAGTCAATCGATTCCGCTACCCGTTTCCTAGATAGCCGCCGAGCTTGAATTGAGAAGATGCAGGGGGCAGGAGGTGCTGCCGCCATTTTTGGTGATGGGTAGGGGTCTACTGATTGGGATTCAATTGTTGTTGGCGGAGCTCGACTTCAATCCCACCACCGGGGAGCTCGTGGTATCTACCACGTCGGCAGGGATGGGTCAATCGGGGAGATCGATGAAGGTTTGCAGGCTTGAGGGGCAGCGACGAGGGAAAGTGGAAGGGGTAGGAAAAAGTTTAGTGAAGTTTTTTTTTTGCCCAGGCCGCTAGTCAAAGGGCAACTTAGTTATGCTGCTCACAGCATAAAGTGTGAGTATCTACTCACACGGTGGATCTGTTGTCCACGTGGGCGAGGGTCAGATGGTGCTGGGTTTGGGTTGAGGAAGGGTTTGCCCGTTTGGGTCGGCTGGTCGAGCCCATGGCTGACCAAGCCCATCGGGCCTACAATTTCAAAAACCAAAAACTGAAACACCCTTTCCCCATTTCAGTTTCTCACGCCACTCTCCCCCCACTTCGACTTCCCCTCTCTCCCCCACTTTCCTCCTCTCACGAAAACGAAGCGGCGACGAAACCGGCAGCGACGAAGGAAGCGGCGGCGAGGCACCAGCAAAGCGCCGGCGACTCTCCCCCACTTCGACTTCCCCTCTCTCCCCCACTTTCCTCCTCTCACGAAAACGACGAATAAGCAAGCGGCGGACGAAGGAAGCGGCGGCGAGGGACGAGCGAAGCGGCGGCGAGCGCTGCGGCGGCGAGGGAAGCAGCGGCGAGGGAAGCAGCGGCGAGCGAAGGGGGATTTCGGCGGCGACGAAGGCGGGGCTTTCACGGCGGCGAAGATTTGGACTAAGGTAACTGTCTTTATACTTTGTTCATGGGTTTTCCTTTTGTTGATTTGTCTTCATGGATATTCATTTTCGTTTGGATAGATTTGAGTTAGGGTTTCATGGCTACGACTTGATCTGGGTTTTCCTTTTGTGGATTTCATGCCATGGATATTCATTTTCGTTTGGATAGATTTGAGTTAGGGTTTCATGGCTACGATCGGGTTTTCCATTTGTGGATTTGTCTTTTGGTTTCGTGGGTGAAATATTTATTTTGTGGCAATTTATATGTCAGTGGATATGAGTTCGTTCTTATGTGGATGTTATTTCTGGGTTTTGTGGATTTGCTTTGTGTTCATTCTGATATTAGTTCTGTTAATCAAGATATGCGTTCTGTTCCTTCTGAATATCCGTTGTTTATTGACTGTGTTGTCGTTTGATGTATCTTGATATTGGTTTTGTTTGGTCATGATATCAGTTATGACTTTCTTGGATAGTTGTTTGATTGGATCTGGGTATTTGTATGTGCAGATATTTAACAATGGTAAGGACTAAAACAACCAAGAGGAAACAGCGACCGACTCCACGACAGCCACCACCACCGCCCCGGCCAGATGAAAATGAAGAAGAAGAAGATGTTGAAGTCGAAGAAGAAGGAGCTGCTAAAGAAGCTGCTGAAGTCGAATCAGATGGAAGTGCAGAAGAAGATGCTGAAGCTGAAGTAGAAGGAGCTGAACAAGGAGCAGCTCGAGGTCAAAGCAAGGCGAGGTACAGATTTCGGTGCACTCTAAATCTCTGCTACATGTTATAATCTGTTTTGTGTGCGTTCTGATATTATTTATTTGATTCTGGATATCCATTGTGTGTTGCTTGGATTGTTTCTTTGATATTTCTGGATAATTGTTTTTAATCAGCATGATATGGGTTCTGATTTGCCTGGATAATTGTTTGATATTTCTGGATATTGATTTTGGACAAGGATGATATCAGTTGTGCCTTGCCTGGATAATTGTTTGATATATCTGGATATGTGTTATTAACCAGCATGATATATGTTGTGACATGCCTGGATAATTGTTTGATATATCTGGATTTTGGTTTTTTGTCAGCATGATATCCGTTGTGACTTGGCTGGATAATTGTTTGATATATATGGATATGTGTTATTAACCAGCATGATATATGTTGTGACATGCCTGAATAATTGTTTGATATATCTGGATATTGGTTTTTTATCAGCATGATATCCGTTGTGACTTGGCTGGATAATTGTTTGATATATATGGATATGTGTTATTAACCAGCATGATATATGTTGTGAGTTGCCTGGATAATTGTTTGATATATCTCGATATTTGTTCGTGCAGGGCTAAGCTCACCGTGAAGAGACCACGACAAAATCCATCGCCGTCACCACCGCCACAGCTAGAGGAGGATGAGGAAGAAGAAGATGCTGAACTCGCAGCTCAAGTTCGTGCACAGGCCCGCGTTCCACAGGTCCACGTTCTAGGACAAAGCAAGCCGTGGTACAGATTTCGGTGCCACACCAAATCTCTGCTAGATGTTATAAAATACTGGAAGGAAGAGCCAAGGTACTACGAAGCATGCAAGAAGGAGTTGGAGAAGGCCGGATTTGGAGGGCTATTGGAGCTTCGTCTGGCAAATGTTCCTAAGAAGTTGTTCGATTCCTTGATGGCACAGTTTGATGTGCAGACCCATTCATTCATTTTCGGTGAAGGGGATAACAAGAAGGTGCTTACCATCGAAGCTGAGGATGTTGCCCGTGTATATGGGCTGCCTATTGGTGGTGCTGAGATTGATGTCGTCAAGTCTAACGACAAGATGCTTGAAATGTTCAAGGAGGAGCTCAACATGGAGTGTACTCGTAGTCGAAATGTAGAAGTTATGGATCTTAGAGAGGAAGCATGTGGTGGTCCAGATGATGCACCGAAAAGGAGACCACCTGTTTCAGCAGCGGTGAAGCAATTTTTGTTGCTTGCTCTTGGTTCAATGCTTGCCCCAAAGATGTCCAGACTTTGTGATCTCGATTATGCAGAGTACATGGTTGGAAGGATGGAGGACATTGCCACTTTTAATTGGAGTGGTTTTGTTGCTCGTAATCTGAAGTTTGAGTTGGGTCGGGTTAAGGAAAATGAAGCTGATGCTAGGGCGCTTGGGAAACAGCAATGGCCCCTCGGAGATATCCACTTCTTAATGGTAACTTCTACTTTAATATTGTTGATATTTTTTATTTGATGGTTGATATTAGTTAACATTCTAGGGATAATAGTTCATTTCATTCCTGATATCTGTTGTGAACGTTTTTTGTAGATCCATTTGCTAGACTTCCTTAATGTGAGAGGGTTTGCCACCAAAACCATCCCGACCTGCAGCTATTGGTTCGACCCAAGGGTGGATAAGGTGTGCTCAAATATCCCCAAGGTAGCTGACAAATATATCATGGGTCCCATGTTGTTGTCAAGGGAAGAAGTGAGATCCCGCTTCCGTCCAGAGCGTGTCAGGAGGGATTGGGAATCAGGATCGAGCAGCTCGGCTCCTGCTACTGATTGGTGGGCGGATGTCGACTTGGAATCCCTTGAGGACGCTGAGGTATGTAGATCTTCTCTTTGCATCTCAAAATCGTGGGTTAATAGACATGGGGTGCATGTAGCGAACTAAATTTGTTTTCAATATATGTGTAGCTTAAGGCATTGGAGTCATTGACTGAAAAAATGGTGGATGTATGGGAAACAAGGCGGGATAGTATCTGGCGAGTCGTCATTATGCGCCATCAAGGAAACAATTGAACTTTGCAATTCTCTTCTGTTTAAGTGGTTGTAATCTTATTGTTAGGATGTTATATTTGCCATGTTGGAATGGCTGAACAAAAGTTTGTTTTCTTGTTAAGAATCTGTTACTTTAATGTATTGTTTGTTCTGGATACTATTTCTTTTCATGATTGCTTTGAACAAAAGTTTGTTTGCTGTATCGAATGATGAGATCCGAGTTTGGATATTACTTTGTTCTGTCTGGATAATAGTTGCACGCCGTTTGGATATTATTCTTTCCTGTCTGGATAACAGGCGCCTCTTGTGTCGATATTACTCTGTGTGGTCTGGATAACAGTTGTTAACTGTTTGGATGTTACACTGTGCTTTATGGATAACAGGCGCCTCTTGTCTGGATATTACTCTGTAATAGTTGGATAACAGGCGCCTCGTGTTTTTTCAGCGACCAAAGCGAAGAAGGAAGAGGGGCAGATTGGCAAAATTGGGTCCCGTGACCAAAGGGGAAATGGAAAAGGAGGGTATCGTGAAAGGCAAGAATATGTTCAGCCGCGTGTACTCTCGGAGAATACGTGAGAAGACTCAGGAGGAGGCCGAGGTGGTTCTGGAGCCAGATACAGTTGTCGAGCCTGAGGTGGATGTGGAGTTAGAGGTTGAGCCAGAGTCGATTGTCGAGCATGAGGTGGAGGTGCCTGTTGTTGAGTCGGGTACTGATGTGGAGGTAGCTATTGTTGATCCGGAGGTTCGGGAGGAGCCTGTTGTTGATTCGGAGGTTCGGGAGGTAGCTATTGTTGATCCGGAGGTTTGGGAGGAGCCTGTTGTTGATCCGGAGGTTCGGGAGGAGCCTGTTGTTGATCCGGAGGTTGGTCCGGAGGTTCGGGATTCGGAGCCACCTATTGATCCGGAGGTTCGGGATTCGGAGTCCATTGTTGATCCGGAGGTTCGGGATTCTGAGGCAGCTGTTGATCCAGAGGTTCGGGATTCGGAGTCCATTGTTGATCCGGAGGTTCGGGATTCTGAGCCTGCTGTTGATCCGGAGGTTCGGGATTCGGAGTCCATTTTTGGTAAAGTGAATGTGATGGAGATTGCTCTCCAGAGCGCTGCTGCTGCTGAAGAGAGTATAGAGACATCCCCGACTACGGTAAATTTTGGAGGATACCAGTAGTGTCTGTTCTTCCTGGATGTTTGTTTCGTTTTCTGTGGATACTAGACTGTTCTTCCTGGATATGTGTTTCTGTTTCTTTGGAGACTAGCTTGGGCTTCCTGGATATATGTTTCTTTTTCTTTGGATACTAGCCTGGAAAGCCATGATATTTGTTTTGTTTTCTATGGATATTAGTCTTTTAGTCTTGGATAATTCTTTCTTTTTCAAAGGATATTAGTTTGTTCTCCCAGGATATTTTTTTCGTTTCTTTGGAGACTAGCTTCGGCTTCCTGGATATATGTTTCATTTTCTTTGGATACTAGCCTGGAAAGCCAGGATATTTGTTTTGTTTTCTATGGATATTAGTCTTTTAGTCTCTGGATATTTGTTTTTTGTTCTATGGATACTAGCTTAGGCTTCCTCGATATTTGTTTCTATTTATTTGGATACTAGCCTGGAAAGCCAGGATATTTGTTTTGAATTTGTGGATATTTGTCTGTTGTTTTGCAGATACCTTCCGAGGATACTACTACTATGTTCGATCCTTCTACTGAGGTTCTGACGCAAGGTGAAGCAGCACCATCAGAGGGGGAGCTTATAGCAGCAGCATGCCAGAGGATGCTGGAGGATAGCGATGATGATATTCTCGTAAGTGAGAGGCCTATGACTAAGGAGGTGGCAGAGTTTATGCACTCTATTACACCAGAAGCATGGAAGGCAACTTTAAAAACTCCTGCATTCGAGAGATCAAAACATTACCCAATCGACTCATCAGTGTACGTTTTGGCAAAGTCTCTGTCGACGAAACTCGACGCTACGGCACTGCAAGTGGTTGAGTTCATCTTCAGTACCACAGCTAAAGATGAGTAAGTTGTCATGTTTCCTTCTTAAATCGCCAATTTCAATCTGTCAAATTCATGGCTACTAACCTGGTTTTTCATTTTTGTTTTACAGTCACAACTATATCGTGGAAACTCCAAAGGGCAAGCTTAGCCGTTGCCAAATTTTGTCGTTGAAGCGTAAAAGTTGGGTTCATTTCCAAGTAATTATAGTATACGGGCAATTCCTAAATGCCCAAGAGGAACGTAAGGAGCTGGTAAAGAGAATTGTCTTCCCATGGACATATGTAGTAAGTATTTATCTTCACTACTTAGATCATATTTATGTTGAAAATGTCTAATTTGATATTGTTGTCTCTTCTAAATAGAATTATGCCGTCACTAATGCTACAAAAAAGCAGCCCATGGACAAGGCGAGAGTCTCGGGGTATATTGCCTTGATCAAGAATAATCCTTTGCTGAAACGAGAAAACTTGGAAAGCTGTGATTATGTAAGTGTCTTCAATATTTGGATATGTTTTTTACTTTCCTTGATATTGGTACCGGTTTAATGGATATGAATCTGGGTTGTTGAGATATGAATCTGGGTTGTTGAGATATGAATTTGGGTTGTTTCAGATCTTCTTTCCAATGTATCGAGATGATCACTACCGAGTGTATGTCGCTGACATGAAGAATAGGAAGACTTTCCTACTGGACAGCCAAAAGCCCAATGCCCGAGTGGCTAAGGAGGATCATGGACCAGTGGGGAAAGTGATATTTGAGTATGTGTCAGAGTTCTTGAAAGAGCAATGGGTCGATTGTCAATTGGATGAGTGGGAATTCAGCATTGCTGACGTTCCTCAGCAATTTGGCAACCATGATTGCGGTGTATTCGCTTGCCTTTACATGGAGCTATGGGCGGGTCACCTTCCGGTGGAATGTAAAAAGAGTTGGCAGAAGCCGGAACATGTGGAGGAACAGAGAACACGGATTGCAGCTAACCTCCTGCTATGGAACTATAACGGTCACAAGGAGGCAATAATTCAAGAAGCGAAAGATTGGAGTATGCAGAAAGAGAAAAGGAAAGGGAAAAAGAAGAGAAATTGACATGTGATTCCTGGATAGTTTATACTGTTTAACTTAGGAGGTTCATATTTAGGAATGGATGATGGTTGATATTTAGGATGGAGGATATTTTGGTAGATATTGACATGTGATTCCAGGATACGTTTTTGTGTTGCAGTGGATATTTAACCACTTGTTATGGATACCTGTCTAGGCAAACTTGATATGTACTGGAACATGTACAGATATTAGTTCATTCTCCCTAGATATTAGTATTAGCAGCAGCAAGTACAATAGTATCAATGATTACTTCTTTCACTATTCACATGTGACCTCTTTTCTTACTGTACTCATGTGATCTTTTTTGCTACTGCTGTACTCATGTTACCCTTTTTGCATTTGTCTATTTAAGACAAATCATACACAACCAAATTTCTTCACTATCCTCCACTCTCAATTTCTTCACTTCTCTTCCAAAGCAAAATCCATGTCTGGAGAAACTCCTAAACCAGAGCGCCGGTTTTTGGTGGATGAGTTCGAATATGATGGTGTTATACTATGTTACCATGGTTGGAGAGCTGCTAAGCAACTTGTTGTTGATGGAGTCAACCCACCAAAGAGGTATTTCCGATGTCGGATGTACGAGTACGACAATGATAACGGGTGTGGGTTTCACATGGATTGGGACGAGGCAATGTTCCCCGGTTTTTCAGAGTCAGATAAAGAAGACAACACCGAGGAGACCGTGAAGAAATGAAGGGTATCGTTCTGGGCAGTATTGATATTAGTCTGTGTGTTTGGGATATCTGTTTAGTTTCATCGGATATCTGTTTGTGAACTTCTGATATTTGTTTAAATAAAGAAGGTATTTGTCTGTGCAGTATGGATATTTTTCTGTTCTTCGAGGAAATTAGTATACAACCCTAAATAGCATCCATCCCTAAATATTATTGGTGCTATTCCCTTCTAATAAATATCTACGAAGCATGGACTAATATCTACCTACACTTCTAATAAATACTGATATCCACGAAGCATGGACTAATATCTACCTACACTTCTAATAAATATCCATATTGCCCAGAACGTTATCTATTACAATTTGATTAATATCCACTTCATCAAAAAACGTATCCTGGATTCACATGTCAATATCAGATCACAATAGATCACACTCGACCCACCCAACATTATATTCATTACCATTGAGCAATAGTATCATCCAAATCACTGAGATGGTCATCCGGTTGAGTATTGTTGTTCGGCGTGACCGCTTCATTTGATGCCATTCCCTTCCTATAGACACGTTTCTTTCGACGGCGTTCCTTTTCATTCATAGACTTGTAACGTTCCTTACCGTTGCTCCTTGGATTACTCTTCTCCTTCAAAGTCAGCCCAGTTATCGGTATAGATCGTCCTACAATGTTTCAAAATTTAGTAAATGCAATAATATTAAACTCCAACAATTTACAAATAATATTAGTGAATACACTTACTGTCCTCGCTAGTAATAGTCTTTGACAATGCCTTGTTTGCCTCATTGCACACTTTCTTGAGGACTCCCATCCACTTATTGTAGTCTTTCTCCTCGGCCATCGACAGTTTCGTTGCTAGTTGATTCAACATTGCAGTGGTTTCTCGGTACCGCATTGCTATACCGATTCCTGCATCATTCTCACTGTCAGCTGAAGGACCAACACAACCATCGACATCAACAACCACTTTCTTTCTCGCCTCCAACGTCCATCGCTCGAGTATGTAATGATCTGGAATACTTCTCATACTGGCTTCCCCAAAATCTCCAAGATGTCGCATCACTTTAATCATGTGGCGGCATAACACTCCGAAAGTTCTGAACATCCTGCATTCGCATACCAATGTCCTCGTAGAAATATCAACGAGAACGACACGCTCATCACTACGCTCACCATCCTCTATCATATATGTGAGGTAGCCAGTCATGCCATCATCCCTAGTATCTGAGAGAGTCT